ATTCTGCTTAACATCCTTAGCTTTATATTTCCAGTGGTTACACAAATGTATAAATTCTTCAGTTTTTTTTTTTAAACTCTGCTCATCAAAAAGGAGGGACACTTTCAGTTCAAGAAAAAAAAAGTTATGCTTTTTAAGCTCTTTCCATGTTTACAAAACTGCCATAATTAAAAAGCAAGTAGAAAAACATTCGTAAAAAATAGTATGGATGCCAGAACAACAAAATGTCATGGTAAAATATCAGTAGACTTTCTGCACTTATGTAGAATGAGGCATTGGTTGTGATTCATACTTAAAGCTGAGTTCTATTTTCACATTAAGGGGTGATGTCTACACTACAGTGTTTGGTCGACAAATGTTATGCTGTTTAATTAAAGAGCTTTAATTAAACCTCTATTGCATGTCCATGTTACGCTCCTTGTGTCGGCAGAGTGCATCCACACTAGCAGCTCTTGCATCGACAGAGAGCAGTGCACTGTGGATAGCTATCCCACTGTACAACTGGCCACATGATGCTTTGGGTAGGGTTTGCAATGCCTCATGGGTAGGGCCCTACCAAATTCACAGCCATGAAAAACACATAATGGACTGTGAATCATAGAATATCAGGTTTGGAAGGGACCTCAAGAGGTTAACTAGTCCAACCCCCTGCTCAAAGCAGGACTAATTCCCAACTATTTTTTGTTGTTGTTGGTCTCAGATCTCTAAATGGCCCCCTCAAGGACTGAACTCACAACCCTGGGTTTAGCAGGCCAATGCTCAAACCACTGAGCTATCCCTCCCCCAAATCTGGTCTTCCTCCATGAAATCTGGTCTTTTGTGTGCTTTTACCCTATATTATATTGATTCCACGGGCGAGACCAGTAATTCTCAAATGGGGGGTCCTGACCGAAAAGGGAGTTGCAGGGGGATTACAAGGTTATTTTAGGGGGGCTGCGGTATTGCCACCATTATTTCTGTACTGCCTTCAGAACTAGGTGGCCAGAGAATTGAGGCTGTTAGCCAGGCACCCAGCTCTGAAGGCAACACTTCACCAGCAGCAGTGCAGCGCAGAAGTAAGGGTAGCAATACCATATATGCCTCTCTTGCTTCTGTTGCTGCCTTCAGAAGTGGATGGCCGGAGAGTGGCGGCTGCTGACTGAGGTCCCAGCTCTGCAGGCAGCAGCACAGAAGTAAGAATGGCAATACCATACCATGCCATATTTACTTCTGCACTGCTGGTGGCGGCTTTGCCTTCAGAGCAGGGCTCCTGGCCAACAGCTGCCACTCTTCGGCCACCCAGCTCTGAAGGCAGCTGTGCAGAAGTAAGGGTAGCAGTACTGCAACCCTCCCTACAATAATCTTGTGACCCCTCTGCCCCAACTTCTTTTTGGGTTAGGATCCCTACAATTACAACACCATGAAATTTCACATTTAAATAGCTGAAACCATGAGGGCCCTACTCATGGGGCAGGTATAGCATCACATGATGCAGGTTTCTCAATCTCACTTTTCCATGGGCATCCTACTAGATTGCCAGCCGCTTTTCAACTGAAGTGTGTGTGGGGGAATTGGGGGGTGGGAGAGAAGAAGCGGCAGTGAGAGAGACAGGGCGTTTGTGTGTGTGAGGGGAGAGAAAGTGTGCGTGCTGGGGTAGTTTGTGAGAGTGGGGGGAGTGTGTATGAGAGAGAGATGGGGTGTGTGTTGGGGGAGAGAGAGTGTCAGCATGCTGTCTCTATGTTCAGACAGCT